AAAAAAAAAAAAAAAAAAAAACATAAACAGGAAAGAGAACTTGAAAGTTGAAACCATGTGAATTTTACTCCCCTCAATTTTTTTTTCACATCTACCATTAACAAAATTCCAGAACTAGTACAACATTCATCTCACTAAACAGAAAAAAAATATAGAGAAAAAACTAAAAAAGAAGCAAAAAAAAAAAAAAAAAGGCAATCTCCTACCCGTTCTCTTACAATTAAGCATTCGATTGAAATTCTCCAAACCGAAAACAAGAAAAATGGAAATAAATAAACCGAAAACATTTCAAGCTGATGATCAAATAATGTCAAAATGCTCGTCATATTTTATCAAAAATAGTTGTTCGGATTTTCTTTGCTCTGGATGACAGGAACACCATCTTCACGCCACACAATTCGTTCCTCACACAAGGCAGCTGCTACCTCCACGTACAATTCGTGCTCCTGATTTTATAAATTAATCGAGTTTTTCAGAACTAAAAGTTTTCTAAAAATCGGTAATGCGATTGGGAAATAATTAATAGTTGATAGACCTCATGAAGAACCCTTGCAGCTAAGTCCTCGGCTGTATCGTTAGCAAGCACACGAACTACCCTTTGTGCAAGAATACGACCCGTGTCATATTGCTCATCAACATAATGAATTGTAGGACCTGAATACCTATGTTTAAAAAACATAATGCTTTTATTAAAGAGTTCAGACATAAATCGAAAAAAATATTAAAAATCTATAAACTAGTAATGAAATGAGAGAGATAAACCAGAAGACCACTAATTAAATTACAAAATAACATATGGAATATGCATACAAAGTACTATCATTGTGAACACAATATATTTTGTGTTTGACACAGAAACAAAACAAAAACCGAAAAAAATAAGGGTTAAAAGAACAATACCTTGCTCCAGAAGCAATGACAGCTTTATGCACCTTTATACCGTAATACCCTTTCCCCCCAAACGCTGGAAGAAGTGAAGGGTGAATGTTCAATATGGATTTGGGATACGCTTGAACCAACTCCAGTGGAATTAGTTTAAGATAACCGGCTAAAAGAATGAAGTCAACATCGTATGATCTGTGAGAATAGCAGAAAGTTGATTATCCGAGGATAAAAACGAGAATCAGAACAAACTTTTTCGTTTTACTGATGAAGCTTGAACACCTTGATTGAATAATTTATCGTGAGATTCATAATATATTTAAGTCCACATATACACCCCCAGTATTGAGAACAAAACATATCTATATCTACGTTTTATATAGCAAACAAAATCATGCAAAACTTTAGTAAATTTTCAATTTTTCACGTAAAGGCCTGACCTTAGTGCAACTACAAGGTCTTTCGCCGAAAAAACCTCTTGCCCGTCTTTCCTTCTCGGGAAAACAATAACTGGAATTCCATTATCACGAGCATACTCCGCACCACCACAATCTGCAACAATTGTAATGAAAAGATTGTAAACTAGATATTCTTTGTAACAGCCATATATATTCTTGACGTCCTCACAAGCTGGTAATTAATCTTCAATCAGGCAAATTCCATACTACTTTCCCTCACCGGGTTTTTTCTCACACCCACATGTGTGTGTGTGTGTGTTGATCAAATCAAGAGGTTAGTGACCTTACGAACAAGATCGATTTTTTTTTTTTTTACTTCAACACACCATTTATTACAGTAAGGTGGAAAGCTTTCTGCTACAAGCTAAAGAATCACTTTTGTTATCTAAAAAAAAACCTTCTACAATTTGCAACCAAATTCTAAAACTTTACATTATATTTTCTTACTCCACAGTCAGATAATACTCCAAATCAAGAATCACCACACGACATAAATTACAAAACTAAACCAAGATGGAGAACAAAAGTAGACAACAAATGCCCAAAGTTACCAGGTTTATTAGTCACTAAAACGACGATGTCACCATGAACGGACCCGTCGAGAGCCGCCCGGTGAATTGACCGGAAATTGGAGCCTCCGCCGGAGACAAAAACCGCCATCTTCTTCCTTCGAAGTTCTTCGTTTGGTTTTGTGTCACTTTCTTCCTTACTGAATACCCCTTTGCACTCTATCACTTGACTTCCGTTGCTGCATTTCGACTTGATCTGGGCACGCGACGGGCGTGAAGAAAAAGGGCAATTGATTTTGAGAGAAACCCATTTGGGAGAACGAATATTCGACGCGTTTGGCATTGAATTGGTAACGGAGGCTTTGATTGAGAAAGTGGGGAAATCCAACGAAGCCCTTGGAATAGCTTTCGTCGCCATGTGAGCAGAAATTTGCAGAGTCGGGCCGAATCTCACCGGATTACCCACAGTCCCTCACCCTCACCCTCACCCTCACCCTCAGGCCCGAATCCCCGGCTCGCAGCACGAGGCGGCGAGGCCTCCAAACGGGCAACAGGGAACAGAGTTCACCCTTCCGGCCCTTCCACAGACCACACAATTTTCACTCTTTTTTGGGCCCCAATTTTCACTACCTCTGCGCCCTTACCACCAATACCTCCATTTTTCGGTCCTTCAGCAGTTACCTTGAATGAATCAAACAAGATAGCAAGAAGAAAATGTCCTTCTGTAGCAATTGTTGTCGTGACCGTACGGAGCGGCCCGAAACCAGCGGCGGCCGTGAGTCCGTGACTGAGAGCAGCGGGCAGCGGTGGCCGGTGGAAAGATGCCGAGATGAGGTGGGAATTCAAGTATGCGACGGGGGTGACGAGGGTTTGTGAAGTGTATTAATTAAATTTTATGTCTTTTATCTCACACCCAATAAATCTGAACCGTTAGGTTATAAAAACTACTATGTAAACCGTGTGATATTATTAAAACTAGTATTTATTTTGGAGAATTTTAAACATTAAAATGTATTAATAAATAAAAGAGTGATAATTTGTAGGAAAATTATCAAACCATAAAATGTCCTCATGCAAAAAAAAAAAAATAATAATAAAATATTTACATTTTCTTGCACACAACATTATTTGTTCAATAATTGAGCAAGACGTCGTCCCTATAAACTAATATTTTCAACACTTTTCTATTATTTACACGCGAAACAAACAACATAATTGTTCGTGACTAAAAATCAATTTCTTTAAGAACATGTTAACATACAATAAATGTTGACATTGACACTTCTTGATCTATTACTTAACATGCCAACGTACAATAAATGTTGATTTGACTCTTTTTGACCTATTACTTACACGCGTAACAACATACAATTAGTCGTGATCAAAAAATATTTTTTTAAGAACATGCTAATGTACATCTCTTATCTATTACTTACACGTAAAAACAACAACATAATCAGTCGTTGCTAAGAACCGATTTTTTTAATAATATGTCAACGCACATAAAGACTGACTTTGATCTTAAATGAAATCTTATTAGAAGTAACTGGTGCTCTAGAACTTAAATAAAATAATAAGATGGATCTTTTTATAATATGATAATTTACTTGGGCAGTCAGACAATGAGTTGTTAGTTTAATATCGATTATACTTAGATTAGCTATATAATATTCACTAATATTTCTATATTTTTTATACAAAAATACTGACAGTGACTGTTAAATGGAACCCCAAAATCAGAAAAAACTAGTGCCGCTGGAACATAAATAGAAGTCTAAGATGGATCTATTTATAATATGATAATTTATACAACAGTTAGACAAATGATTGATGTATATCTACAATAATCTATATATATATATATATATATATAATTAGGGGCAAGCTTCATTTAATTTTATTCAACTACAATTAATAATAATATGAGGTCATTTAATAAAAATAAGTTGTATTTAATATAAATATGTTAACCATTTAATAATAATATGTAACTTTCAGTTACACAATTTATTTTGAAATGCCACATTTTGGATGATCCCCATTTTTCTAACGCATTTTTATTTCATGAAATACAAAATATTTTTGTTTTTATTTTGATACTATATATTTTTTGGTATTATATAAATACATATTTTACAACTAATTTAAAATAACTACAAATATCTCTATTTATTATTGCAGTCATAATAAATATTATTTGGATATTACAAACGTACATCAAATATTTTGAAAATCAAATCTCAGAATCACGAGCCTAAGAAATTTAACGATAAGGATTTAATGTGATGAGCATTCTGACGTTAATAAAATTACGATTGTTTTATATAAAAAAGTGTTTAATAATATTTAGATTACCTTTTTTAAATACATTTTTTTTCATTCATTAAGTTATAATTTTTTATTTTATTCTATATTTTTAATTATTTTCTCTTCTATTATATTATTTTTCGTGCAAATGCACGGGGTAAAACTAGTATGCATGAATAATACAAAACATTAAATATTACATCACACTAATTTTACTTAATTTATTTTTAATTCTTTTACTTAATTTATTTTTAATTTTTTATGCATTGTGATTTTTTATTTAATTTTTGGAAGATGAGTTGGCAATTATTTTCGTTTTTCAACTCTTTTCCGTTATATTTTGCATTAATCAATTAGTTAATATTTTTATTTATTTTATTGCATAATAGCTACTACCAACCAATTATAAATTCATATTATGTATTAGGGCATCCACATCTATCAATTTTTTTTCTTCATTCATTCAATCTTAAAGAGTTACACTCTCTCTCATCCACATCATATCAACGTCATGTTTTTACTAATTCTCTCTTCATTTAAACACACGCTCGCATCCTTATACATTCATTTAAATACAAATATGAGACTCATTATATCCATTTATTCAATATAAAGTTTGATATTCTATTCTCAGTAAAAATAAAAATTTAATATATAATAATAAATTTTAAACGCATGAAAATAAAAGAACACTACAAGACCGAAATAACTTAAATTAAGATTACACAAGAAAATATAGTACAATTACAAAAATAATTTTTTTGCGAAGAAGATTGTACGGGATTTTGACTACTCGTGTATTGCCAATATTTAGGCGACGAGTTTTGAAATAAAACTTGTGGAGGATATTGTGAATATTGAATATCGGTGGAATTTGGTTAATTTTGGAATTGTTGTTGCATAAAAAGAAAATTTGACGGGAATTGTAGAAAAAATTATGCAGGATAAGGAGTTCTAAATTTTATGGTGGAAGAGAAGTGAGAATTTTTTTGTGCAAGAGAAGTGACAAATTGAAGTGTATTTATAGGCAAAAAATGGGGATAAGAAATGTAAATTATTACATATTGAAAAGTGTGATATAGATAAAATTTGAATTTATTTGTATTGGAAAGTGTGGTATAAATAAAAAATAAATAAAATATAAAAAAAAGGTTAAATAAATAATTGTTTTAAAACAAAAAAATTAAAATAAAAAATAAGCATGCTGCACATGCATAATATAATTAGATTTTCAAAAACAAAAAACAAAAAAAATGATAAGTGAACGCGTTAAAGGAATTGAACGAAGTGGTGGGCCCCCCTTAGACAGATGAGTCGCATCCGTATTAACGGGGAGGGAGGTGTTTAAACGGCAAGAAAATTAAACCGATGCGGATGTTCTTATAAATTTTTAAACTATTTATTTGAAATTATTTTTTTTTTTTTTCAGCTGATTAAGAAAAATTAGTTAATTATTTCTTATACTATAATCAAATCACTTAAAAATTTGTATGAATAATACTAATTTTAGTATCGTTTTATCAAATTAATTGATGACCAAACAATATAGCAAAAATTATTTTCTTAAATCAGTGTTTTGAGATCCAGATTGTCGCATGTTGACTTGGGATCGGACCGAGTGGGTTGTCTGGATCAGGTAGCAAGAGATCGGTCGACCAAAATATTGACCCTTTTTAATTTCTTTTTATTTTTTAAAATAAAATTATATCAATGTATATTTATGCAATAAATATTTATAACAAAATGGAATATTATTAAGACTTTAGGGTATAGAATTCACATATAAATAAATTATTTTTTTTATGTGTTATTATAAGGTAAAAATAATATAAATATAATTTCAAATTTCATAAAATTATTTATTCAGTCAGCAAGACTTAATGTTGAACCGGTGATCCAGAGTTCATTTCGGGCCAAGTCCGAGTTTTAAAACTATGATTATGATTAAAATCAACGGTTTTGCTATGAAGCTAACAGTTGACTCTATATTGGAGCCAACCTCTATATACAACAAGTAAACATATCATATTATCTGATTACGTAAATAACACTAATATAATTTTATTAATATGGTAAGTTTATTTGTTGTATATAGAAGGTTGACTCAACTATAGAGCCAACTACTGGCTTAATAGCAAAAAACCTATCAAATCAATATAAAAGTTAACATGTAAGTTAAATAATCTATTAATATATAATAAGAATTAACATAATTCATTTTTAGAAATACTTTCCCGCCAATTTCATTAATTATTGTCTAAGAATAGTAAATTAACAAAATATCTATTTATTAGCATACCTTTTTTATCCAATTTTTTTTAGGAATACAATCAAAAATATGGAATCAAAATCAAAATAAATCTAAGAAATACACTTACCATACTTAATACACTTAATTTAAGAGATACACTTACCATATATATTTTATAAAAATTTTAAAATACAATATAAAACATTTAATTATTGATTGTCAATTAGAGATTTTTTTTAAGAATCAATCATATTTCTAATTTGTTAGAAATAATTTATATATATATATATATTAGTATTTACGTGAAAGTAACATATATATTACTTATATGTTAACATATATATTAATCATATATAATAAGGATTAACATAAATCAAATTTAGAAACAATTTCCCGCCGCTTTCATTAATTATCTCCTACAAATAGTAAATCAGATTTTTTCGTTTTTTTTTTTATTAATAACATCAAATACTTTTATATTGGTAAACAATAAGGAATCAAAATCTAAATAAATCTCCTATTTTTCCAAACAAATTGGAAATCCGAATGTAAATCCGAATAAATCATGATTTTAGAAATCGTGATTTCCATACAATTTGAAAATCCGAATAAATCTCCAAATAAAATCATGATTTGTATATATCATGATTTTAGAAATCTGTTCAAAATTTTCTTTGCATGAATCTGAATCATAATTCATTCAGCATATTATTATATTATTAAATTATTTGAAACCACATGCTAAGATTTGAATATATCAGATTTCTAAAATCCTGATTTGAATATATCATCTTTTCACCAATTAGACTTTTTTCTTCATTATTGATTTGAAAAGGAAAACGAATTTTATATACCTTTTCGGTTTTGATAATATAATGTTATAATCATTATCATTATTTATTTTAAAAGATAGTGTTTGTCATTTATTTGATTTTAAAAAATGAAAAAAAAAAATTCATAGTTTAGGTCTCTTTTTATTTATGCATTTACACAAGTTAATTTAAAAACTCTAATAACGATTGGCAACAAAATTGTTATACATTGATTCAAACCAACTAATTAATAAAAGAGTCCATCAATCACGAAATTAAAAAATAACACACGATCACTACATTTCAAAGATTAAGTTTTTTAGATAAACATTCATTTATATTGTCATAACGATAAACAACAGTGAGTGTCAATCTTAGAAATTTGATGATTTCAACTGCTATATTTCCAATGATTCTTTTACCGTAGAAATTTCCATTGGAATATGCAAATTTCGTTAGAATTTTTATTTCCACCCCGTTAAAAAATCCACCGTTGGAATCGTCAAAATCCAACGGGAATTCCAACGGAAAATTTATTCCAACGGAATATTTTTGTTGGAATTTCCGTTGGAATCCATTGAAAATTTCCAACGGAAATAATAGTATTAAAATATCTGTTGGAATTGTCGTTGGAATAATTTCTTTTGGAATAGATTTCCATTGGAATTTTATCATTTTATTGTAGTGTGCCCAATAATCAAACTAATAATGTTGTTTACAATTAGGTTTTTTAATAACATATGATTTTTTCATACCCAAACATTTTATGAGCATTTTCCGCTCAAAACATTAATTACCTATTATAGATGGAAATAATATAAAATAATCTAAATAAAAAATAAACCACTAATTGGATAATTTTCATATAACTCAATTTTCGGTTTGTGTTTGTTTTAGTAAATTCTTGGTTTTCTTTAATTACGTTAATAGTGATTTTGTAGGCAAAGATTATGTAAATAATTATATGTAGTCAATTTTGGAACTCTTATTTATCAATGATTCTTTTTTATTTTAACAAATTTATTAGAATCATTGATTGTGATTAGCATATATGTTACATACACACACAAAAAAAAAACAATTATAGTAATATTTAAATTTACATGGCGTCAATTTTGGAATTCTCATTTGTGAGGATTCTTTTTTATTTTATCATATTTATTAGAACCAACAATTAAA